ATATATTATATATATATTCCCACTATATATGATTATATATATTATATATATCTATATATATATATATATATATATATGGAAAAAAAAAAAAAGAATATATAATATATTTATATATATATATATATTCTATAATATATATTATATATATATATATATATATAGTATATATATATTTATATATTATATATACGTTCTCGAGTGAAAACGTTTCTTAGTACCATATTTTTTTTTTGCACCTACCCCCATTGCCATTCATTGCCTCCCCATCTGTCATTCTAAGGGCGAGCGCCCACCAAAGTGGCGTGGCAGTGGCAAGTAGCAAGTAGCACGCGTCTAGCATAATGTAATAAATGAAAACGAATAATTCAGTTTACACCAAAATGACAGTTAACGTCATTCATTCTAATCATTCGTTAGGATTGGTTACATTATGCTAGACGCGTGCTACTTGCTACTTGCCACTGCCACGCCACTTTGGTGGGCGCTCTCCCTTACAGTGCCGTTGGCCCCAATCTCGTATTGGTACTTTCGAACATGCATTGTGATGAACCCACTGCCGTAGTGGTACGGCAGCTTCTGATACACGGTACACGGCGATTCGGTAACTGCCGGGATGGTCGGGTTTTTGGTATATTTTTAGCATGCGTCTTGTACCGCAAATATTACGTTAGGTTAGCACGGACTACGCATTATTCTGCGTGTTACTGTTGCAGTACAAATGTATTGTGAAATTTCAAGAAAATGTCTGATTCGAGAAAAAGAAGGGCGTTCATGCGATACAGGTGATTTATGTGGACTAACGCAAAAACAATATGATGATATACTGGAATGCTTGGATTCCGATGAAGAGCCTTTTAAAGAAAGGCTCGCATTTATCGCTGTGCTGTTGCTTGCAGCACGCCATAGAAAAGGCAATACTTACATAAAATTGGTCAATAAACGATTTGTTATATACACCCATACTTTCTAGTGTAATGTCATGGAATCGCTTTCAGTCTATACTGAGAATGTTACACTTTGCTAAAAATGCTGTTCAACCTTAAGCGGATTCTTATTACAAGGTACGAGGCGTTTTTTTGCAGGTAAAAAACTCATTTGCTAATAATTTTACGTCATTCCAAAATCTGATAATCAACGTAAGTTTGGTTCTATTCAACAGACGGCTGCAGTTTTAAACAGTTTATATAAAAACCAAACGCCATTGATTTGAAATAAAATTGTTTCTTCTGTGTGACTGTGAAGCGGGTTATGGGTTAAACTATATCGTTTGTGTAGGTAAAAACACCGAAATAAATCACTATGAGGATATCGGCCTCTCAGGATCTAAGGTTGCCACTCTTATGAAACCCTACTTGGACAAAGGTCACTTGCTCTTTACTGATAACTGGTACACGTCTCCTAGTTTGTCAAGTTACATATTTGACCATTAAAACTAACTGTTGTGAAACAGTCAGGGTCAACAGCAAACACCATGCCTAATTGGCAGAAAAAACTACAAAAAAGTGCAATTTTCTCAATGTCGAGTTGCAATATGTTGGCACCAAAATAGAAGGATCGAAGAAAAAGTTACTATGATTACTACCATGCACCAAGATAAAATGGTAGGAATAGGCTAAAAAAAGACAAAAAGAAGAAACGAATTTCGTTAAAAAACCAGCTTGTGTAATAGATTACAATATGAATATGGGAGCAGTGGATAGGACTGACATGTTATTAAGTTTCAGAGAAAGTGTGAGGAAAACCGTCAAATGGTATAAAAAGCTATTCTTTCACATATTGGACCTTTCTATTCTAAATGCATATGCAATATACCTTACACAACACCAGAGAAAACACCATTGGCTAAGTTTCACTTGAATCTTATTGGTCAGCTTCTAAACAGGTATGTGGATCTAATCTTGAAATTACCTTGTTACAATGAAATATTATTTTTAGGTATTATTTACCAAAACATACAACTGTAGTGCCTATGCGAAACGTTTCTCTTTTTGTAGGTAGACATTTTTCTGATATTTTCCCCACAAAAAAATTCGTAGATACACTGTTTGCTCAACAATAAAGACTCAAGCAAAGAAACGGCGCGAATCAAGGTATAGTACTAGCAAGCACTCTTGACCATGTAGCTGCGCGAAGGAGGAGTCAAAATTTCACGTAAAGGCAGAAAGATTCTATTGTAAGTGGAATTATACTAACCAAACTAAAACGTTCTACCGTCGACTGCAACTTCGAAATTGTCGAACTAATTACAGTGTTGGACTGAGTAATAGATAAAAATTGCATGGTGCATAACAAAAATTATTTTTTATCTGCGTTTCGTTTATAATTTTAACGATTTTTGTTAATTTTTTTTAAAAACTGGCTTTAATTTGATATTTTAAACTTAACTTTCGATATTAATCGTGAAAAAAGCCCTATTATTTATTGCAAAATTATTGGTTATAAGTTTATATTTTTAATTTCTTATTTTAAGTTGAGACATATAACTAATATTATAGGATGAATAACTAATACACATTTAATTTAATAATTTATTTTTAAAATGTCTAAACAGTTGTATCTACTTAAAAATTATTTACAAATTAACTAATTTTTGTATTGAGTTATAATGGTATTTTACTACGGTAAATTAAATATATTCAATTCATTTCTAATAACTACTAGAAATCAGAGATTACTAGGAATTGCAATGAGATTAGATAAGAACAATGAGATACAATAGAACAATAATTACGTTCTACCTACCTATACATGGATTTGCTTTTAGTAATTAGTTGGATTTATTTATGTACCTAAATTCCTCGAAAGGTTTAGACAATATATACACAAAATCCTCAAAATTAACACACCATTTTAAAAATTGGACATTTTTTATGTCTGTTTTAATTAAAAGTTTAAATAATAAAGTAACTAATTTTTACAAAAAAACCAGACACTTTTAACCACTGACTGTTAATAATTTGACATTTATCAAATTGTTAATTTATCATAGCCCACTTTAGGCTTTTTTATTAAACTAAGCAGAAAATAAGGATTTATTGACAAAGAACATGGCTAGTGGTTAAAGAATACAACTTTGTAATTTTTGAATATAAGTGAATCAATAAAAAAAAAAAACAAAATGTTTAAAAAACCTTAGGCTATAATTGGGTTTAGTATATTTTACAAACGAATATTCCACAGGGTGTTAAAAACTTTAAGAAAAAAAACACAGTATGATTGGTACACTCGGTATACAATGACGATTAACCTCAAGCAAGCAATTTAATTGAACCCAGCCTATGAGAAATGTTCACCCAGGTAGTACGATCGGGTTGTAACAATTGATTGGAGCAAGTGTGTTTAACTCGAGTAAAAACAGGAGTCACCCCACCGTGCTCCAATGCTCTAGGACCATCCCTTTCCCCCTTATAGCAATCTGATTCACTATACGGGCACAACAATCAGCCAAATGCTCTTCATGTGGAGGTCTGGGTAATAGAACCCCAACATGGTTTCCTAACTGAATGCAAAAAACTCAGGACAGCGCATCTTCGCTATATTTCTGTTATCTTACTGTGGCTTATCCGCGAACTAAAATTGCTTACTTGGGCCTAAGTCTCCGCTCTGAGTCCCGGCTCAGTTCGGACGACTTGGTGCTCAAGGGGGTTGGGTCCTACGTGTCCGGGTTTTGGGGTTTTATTAATTTTTTTTTGTGGTCGAAGCCGGTTTTTGTTAGTAATTTTTTTGATTTTTTTGGTGGCCGAAGCCGGTTTTTTGTGCTTTTGTATTTTTTTTTGTTGACGATCTACCTCTCCAGCAACAATATTATTACAGCACTATTGTTAAAGTATAAGATTATACTCATTCTATAACATATTAAAAACATCCACATTAAAACCAATCATATTTAGGAAATACGAGACATCAAAACGTAACATTTTTAAGGCAGTGCGTTAATTTTAATAATAAATAATCTAATAAACAAATTTTAAAATAAAATTTTAAGGAATATAGATAGATTGTTGAGTGAGTATGATGATACAGAAATATAAGTTATATTAAATGTAAGTAAAAAATTACTTACCCAAAGTCACTGTTCACACGCGTTATAGTCACGTAATAAGTATGTAGTTCTCGTAATATATATGTGTCTGGAATGTAATACGGGTCTTTGTGCACATCCTTGCTTTGGCATTTTACCATACCCAGGGACAATTCTAATGACTACTTTCGTATTCATTTCATATAGTTTATAGTTAGTTATTAAAAATACTTTCGTTTATATTTTTTGAACCTTAAAAAGCATTTTTTGAGTTATTTACTTTGCATTTATTGAGCAACCATATATATACGTCGCTGGTACTGCTGGCACTTCAAAAACTATGGGGACGGTGGCACTATGACGCTAACGTCTGGCATCAACTGAATATCTTTTTAATGACTCACATTTTATATATCTGAAAATTATAATTGCAGACATTAAAGAATAATATTGAATTAGTCTTTAATGTCAGGGAGATTTTAAATTCAGGCAGAGAAAGTTTAATGTCATTAAAATAATATTAAGAATAAAAATTATTTCATTTGCACGAATTCCGCAAATAAATTTGAAGAATACAATATAACTTTTAATAATAATACCGCAAAATATAACTTTTTATTTTTAAAACATCAACAGCAAAAATTAAATAATTCAAAACAAATTCTTAAAAAAGTACAATATTTTTCCATTTTACGTTTATAAATATTTCCCAAAATATAATATTTTTGTAGGAGCCGGTCCATAACCTACGATTAAAAACTTTGACAACATTGTAGTTATTTCTGACATATAAAAAGCACAGGCCTATCTCTGTAACGCTGTCAAATTTCAGTATAACAATTTTCCAATAATTCTTTAATTTAAAGTAGTTGTTTTTGTTTATTAATATCAAAGTTCGCGATTAAACATTAAACTGGTGATAATATTGTGTGCTGTATCAGTTATTCTAATTTTGAACAACCATATATTATTGTGAAAGTCATTAACACTAATTTTAGTTAAACTAAAACAAAACAAAGCTTTAGCCAGTGGGTTATACTTATAGATACAGTCGATAGATAGAAAATATAGATGTTCTCGGTAATATTTACCATTAATTTGTTAATCATTTGCACATTATTTCTCTTCAAAATGGGATTAAAAATTGTACTGTTAAATGTGGTGTACCTAACTTTTATTTTAAGTGTATCACAGTGTTTAGTAAATAATTTAAAGGCTGACGATTGTGGTAAGTTTTTTTAATTCAAAATATTAGTTTTAATATCACAGTTCGTAAGAAATATGGATGTTAATACTTAAAAAGTTACTAATTTGATAAGTCTGCTTTTATTGTATGTAGGATTGGTTTAATTTTGGACATTGATCATTAATGATATACCTACTTTTTAAAATTATTTCCGGTTGTTCTTAGCGGATGAGGCTAACTATAATTTTAAATAGATAGGCCAAATAATAAAGTGGTTAACTACCGTAAAATGGAGTGTAGTTGACTGTCTTTCAAATTCAACTAAAGATATTTCCTAGAGAACAAAAGTGAAGCCATCTCAGAATTAGCGCTTGCGAGATCAGTGAGGTCCTTTATAAACGGTGAGCCACTTAATAACATAGATATGCTGACGATGCCGTCCTTCTGGCAGGAACACTAGAAGAACTGCAACACCTTGCTGAACAAACTAAATATTATTGCAACGATTATGGACTAAAAATCAATTTGAAGAAAACAAGTTCATGGTATTTACAAAAGCACAAAACATCAAAGTTAAGCTAGTACTAGATAATACAGAAATTGAACAAATATCTTCGTACAAATACCTTGGAGCATGGATCACAGAAGATACTGATCAGACAAAAGAAATAAGATGCCGCATTGAAATTGCGCGGTAACTTTTAATAGAATGAGAAAACTTTTTTGTAATCGCGATATCATATATCGCTCGGATAAGAATGCTTCGATGTTATATTTTCTCTACCCTTTTGTATGGAGTTGAAGCTTGGACACTTAAAAAATCCAACATTAAAAACCTAGAAGCATTCGAAATGTGGTGTTACCGACGTATTTTGAAAATATCATGGATGGATCGCAAAACAAACGAACAAGTTCTCGAACAACTAGGAAAACAATGCGAAGTTTTAAATTCCATAAAAATCAGGAAATTGGAATACTTGGGAGACATAATGAGAGGTGAAAAGTACGAACTACTAAGGAATATATTGCAGGGTAAAATCAAAGGTAGAAGAAGCGTAGGAAGACGTAAAATCTCGTGGCTACGCAATCTCCGTGAATGGTTTGGATGCAGTTCAATTGAACTATTCAGGCGAAGTTAACCATATAAAATTATAATTGCCAGAATGATTTCCAATCTCCGATAGGAGTGGAACTTGAAGAAGAAGAAGAAGAGAACAAAATACAATGTATCATAATATGTTAATATTTTTTAATATGTTTTCATGTCTTAACTTTAATTTTAGTAGAAAAATATAACTCAGGAAAAATAAATTTCTTATTTCGTCAACTTGTAGCATTTGCAATTAATTGATTTTTTTGGTGTATATTGAAATTCCCTCGTATATTCAATATATTGAAATCCCCTCATACATGTTTGAAAAATTGAAGAATATTTTTAATGTATTTCAGTTTCCTATTCGTACGTATTAAAACCCAAATAATATTTCGTTCTTTTCAGACATCGCCAAGTAATAAAAACCATTTTAGAGTTGTTTATTTATTTCGTGGCTGCGTATTTTGGTCAAAATTCTTGATTCAAGCCGGCCGAATGTACTACATTTTCAAATTAATAATCTACGTTTTAATTTCCGTTGTGTTTTTTTATTTCAAGTTATGTGAACGAATTCTTAAAATAATTTCGTCCATTCTTACTTGGGTCGCTGTAGGCTCAAGTGTGGATCCAAATTCATGTCGAATTTGTAAAATTTTTCTGTTTTTGGCCTCTTTTTATGGAAATGTGTAGCAGTGAAAAGTAGTTTTGCAGCAGTTAGGTTCAGTTAATGTTTTGAGTGAGCTTGGAATCTCCCCTGGTTGTTCATCCAAGGCTTTTTGGCAGTTTGGAGATGGATTTGTTCGTTGGTTCGTTGCACAGAGAGAGTGAAGCCTCCAGTTCCAGTATAGTTCCAGTTATGGTTACAGAGAATTTTTTTTTGTGAATTAAGGCAACTTTTATCTCAAATTTTAAAGTAAAGACATACAATTTTTTTATAATATTTGCTTTCATAAAAATTTGAAAAATAGTAATAATTAAATATTGTAAATTTTGGGTTTTGACTTTAGCTGTTATTTTATTTGTTTTCAGTTTTTGAAATTAATGTTATGTAGAGTCACTCAACACTGAGGAGTAGGCAGATTGAGACCTCAGTGCCGAGAGACAGTTCTTGTATTTATAATACAGAACACGATACTGGTACGTGTCGAGTGAGGGAGAGTAGGCACATTTAGACCCGAACTCGAACCGAACCGTATCCCTCTTGATAATGGCTCCAAAACGGGAGCCGAAACGTCGAGCATTAAATTCTCAACGCGGTTCTTCCCGAGAACTAGTGATTTTCAATATATATATATTATAGATATATATTTATGTTAATATATATATTTATATATAATAAAACATATATATTATATTATATATATATATATATAATATATTATATATATATGTTATGTAAATACTTTTTTCCTTTGGGTGTGGTAGTCAAAAAAAATAGAGCTTTGCTAAGGCGTACTATTTATTCTGAATCCGAGCTTTCGGTGGTTCTTTGCCTTTTACCTTTTTGCCTTAACTTTTTTTAATTTCCCTTCATATTTAAAGTTGGTAATTAGTTGGTGAGTACTTAAAATCACAAACGATATTTTGTTAGAAATCAGTTTGAAAGTTTTTTGTAGTTACATCGAACTATTTAAACAACAATAGTTCCTCCTACTGCCTCTTTCTGTTCGTGATATGTCACTGAATTCAAACCTACAAAGACGACTGTTTTTTTTTTGTCAAACATGTCGTCTTACTTTTTACATTTTAAACTTTGTAACGTATTCATTAACTTTTAAGTTATTTTAAAATTTTTAACAGTTTTAATGCCTTCAGCAATTCATGTCATATTATGTTATTTAACGTTGTGTCTTATATACTATGAATCTTACTTTCTGGTAAGTTTTTATAACTTTTATATTGCATCAGTCAAAGTTTATAACACAGTAATTTCATTATAGACCTTGATAAAGGTGGCAAACAACACCGAAAGCTCGGATTCAAGAATAAATAGTACGCCCTTAGCTAAGCTATATTTTTTATTGACTACCACACCCAAAAAGAAAAAAGTATTTACATATTTTTCCAAATAGTCATAAAAATTTATATATGTATAGATATTATATTATATATATTTTATATATTATATATATATATTTATATATTATATATATATATATATATTAGAAGGATCACTCAGACGAGTGGTGGGTTCTTATATCGGTGTCTTAAGGTGGAGAAATAAAAGACAAAGTTGATAAGCTACTTTATCTATTTTGAAGACGTTTCGCTTTTGTATTCTGAAAGCATCATCATCAAAAAGTAAAATATGAGAACCACACAATCATGGAGAAGATGTTACCTTAAAAAGACATGTGATATTAACAGTAATGATTACAATGATATTAACAGATTTGTGAGTAAAACTCAAGTAAATGGACATTATACGGTAATATTGTATAAACAATCAATTAACTAACAACATTTAGCAACTTATTAAAAAATTAGCACAGCAACAGAACATGTGGTCTAAAGTATATGTAATATTTTATTTTAATATATTACTTCACTTCCAACTATTTAATAATTATTTAAGCTTTGATTTTAACTTTAGGTAGCATTATTAAAGTGATTTGAATAAAAATTTAAAAAATGTAGTTGTAAATGAAGTTACCGCTCAAAGCCTCACAGCGTACGAAAACACGAAAGGAGAATTGCTTAACGGCGCACCACCAGGGATAATAGCTGCCTGCCATGTGTCTGACTGGATTCAGAGTAACATTTTCTCCAACTGGTTACAACATTTTATTAGCCACGTTTAAACCAAGTGAAGCTGATCCAGTTGTATTATTATTTAATGGTCACTTCTCCCACACGCGGAACATGGACTCGATAAATTTGGCGCGCCAAAACCATGTGGTTATTCTCAGTCTGCCGCCGCATTCTACTTATAAAATGCAACCGCTGGACCTTGCTTTCATAGGTCCTATTAAAAGCTACACTCACAGGAAATTAAAAATTGGGTAACGAACAACCCTGGACGGGTAGTCACCTTTTAACAAGTTTGCTAATTTCTTGGAAGAGCTTAATTAAGATGTGCTACAGCTGAAATCGCTATAAATGGTTTTCGAAAGAGCGGTATCTGCAATTTAATAAATACATTTCGAGAAAACGACTTTTCCATTCACCATCAAGCGGAAAGGTGACTAAGTTCCAGTTCCAAAGCTACCAGAGGCTAAACAAGAAAACTAAAGTAACTCTTCCGAAGCTTGTAACTCCTCCAAGAAGTAATGATGCGACTTAATGTGTGGAATATTTATCATGTAAGAACATTTCTAATAACAGAGATTAAATAGTGCGGCCAAAAGATATTAGCCCTTTACCCACCACTTCCTTTTTCAAATCTATTATTAAAGAAAGAAAGTTTAGAAAAGGATCTGCTGCCTTGATTACAGGTACACCATACAAAGATGTCTTAAAAAGTAGTTCGTCAGAACAGAAGAGAAATAAAAGTATTTCAAAGGTGCTTCCGAAATTAAAAATAGGCAAATGTGAGCCTTTTCAGAAAACAAATAAAAAATAAGGAAAATCTATTGCTAAGAAGACAATCACAACAAGGTTAAAAAGAAAAGTGTTAAAAAACGAAAGCTTTTAATTCATCTGAAGAAGATGGAAGAATTCATTTTAGATGATGATTCTGACATAAAGTGTGACATTGGGGAAGAGGAAGCAGAATGTATGTTTTGTACTGGACTCTTCTCTGAAGATACCTCGGGCGAACAATGGATTCAGTGCTCAAAGTGTTTTAAGTGGTCTCACACCGACTGCACCAATGTAGACAAAAAAGACACATATATTTGTGATTACTGCCTCGATGGCTAATTTTATCCTGTTATCCTAATATTCGTTATTGGGAATATTTTTTTTTTTGTTAGTCTAAAATTTACCTGTTAACCCCTTGTGGCTCAGTGGTAAGAGCGCTGCCTTTAAACCTAAAGGTCGTGAGTTCGATCCCATCTGGGTGGAAATTTTCGTTTATTAAAAAAAATTAATAAATGAAAATAATTTCTATCCTTGTGTGATCGGTACACACCGGAGGGACCGCAGACGTTCGGATACAATTAGCGTCTCTTAGCAAAGACAATGACGTCGACTTTGCTAAGTATCAAGACAATTAATCTACACACACAAACACACACACACACATACTACATTAATAAATAAACTTATCTTGATTGAGACTGGCTTAATGACAATTGTCCAAGCCAAAACACACACAAAAAAAAAATTACCTGTTTTTACAACAATTTTAATTTTATTTTTTACTTCTTAGAAATGATTTATTTTCGTTCAATAAAAGATTCTCTATAGTCTATTATTTGTTTTGCTCTTAAATATTTATAAATTAATTGACGTATTAAAACTAATATTAGGGTTCAAAAAAAGTATCCGATATTAGGGCATTTTACTCTATGTTTTTAAAAAGTATTGGCATTTTTGGTCTACCGCTACAATCCCCAAACTTGTGTGCCAGGTTATTCTGTGAAGATGCGTGTAAACAAATGAAACAAAACTTATTGAAGAAGTAGGAACCAATTTTTTCTCAGGACTGTTAACTATTTGAAATATTTCTGGAGTCACCAAAATTTTTTGATATCATATTGATTAAATATATAGAGGTCTGGGGGAAAATTATTAGTCAGCTAATTTTTTAGGAAAGCAGAAAAACTACTAAAACAAAATATAATTTTTTTAGGATCTACGCATGGAACTATCATTAACGTCGACGTATCTGGGTGTGACGGAGAGGACATATGTCCATTAAAAATAGGCACAAACGTCACTATGACGGCAACGTTCACATCAGGTAAGCATAAAAGGTTAAAATATTGAGTATTTGCAAAAACTAAATAAACCATGCACTCTAAAATTAATATTCTTTTACATTCCATAACAAGATGATTTGACTATGTATTTCAAAGACTTTTATTAAACGTACTTATTAACCTCATTGACTTTAAAAATGATAAAAAAACCTATGCCTAATTATTTCATAATCGATTTTCCGCAGAGGAACTTTTAGCTCATATTAGTATGGGTGCCATGTAAAAAAGTATACAGTAACCTAATTGTGCAACTAATTTTATTTTGCTGCATATTTATAGATAAACAAAGTGCATTTGAAGTTTTAAAGGCCCAGTTTGACCTCGAACATAACACGTCAAAATGATGAGGTGCAAATTATTGTCACAAGCGGGGAACAAAATACCAACTGCTCATAAACTTCATTAAAATACATAACAAGCATAACACCCAGACTGGAAAGACTTTTTAAAGATTTCACCAATTTAAAAATAGCCTTTAAAACTTTATTAACTGCAAGATCTATATATTCTAAGGTTAAAGATATGTGACATCAAAGACTGTTCCAACATAGTCTAACAGATTCCTTGCAATAACTGCAATTTAGTATATGTGGGACAAACCACACGCAGCCTAGGTAGTCGCTTAATTAGTCATCGTAGCGACAGTAGACTATATCCTGAAAGGTCTGCCCTTGCAGAACATGTTAAATAAAGAACATCACATATTGAATTATGAATTGGTCAAAGTTTTAGCTACAGAAACCAATTACAAAAAAAGACTTGTCTTAGAATTCTCATTCATCGCTCAAAATTCAAATGCAATGAACAAAAGGAGTGACATCAATAAATTGAGCACTATTTACTCCTACCTAATATATTTGGATACACATGCACAATCCAATGATATTGTTCTGAAGCTATTTTCTTGTGGCATTGTAAATTAATTACTATTTATAACTGGGAATAAGCCACAATTAAAGATAAAAAATACGTTTATTGACGTTTCAATTTCCAATTCGGAAATCGTTCTCAAAATACAAACAGTAAATTAAACAAATTTTGTTTTTTGTTACATAGTGAAAAAATTCTTCTAATAATTTAATTTTATCTGACTCATTTATATTGACAATTCAGACATACATTATGCATTTTAAAGTAGAGGACTTTAATTTTAATTTGTTTAATTTACTGTTTGTATTTTGAGAACGATTTCCGAATTGGAAATTGAAACGTCAATAAACGTATTTTTTATCTTTAATTGTGGCTTATTCCCAGTTATAAATAGTAATCAATCCAATGATGTTTCAACAACTGATTCATTGTAAAGTTTCCAGGTTTCCTTATTTCTTAGAGTTCTCATTATACAATTTTGTTTTTTAACTTAAATATAACCTTTGATAATATTGATGTGTAATAGTAGTAGTACCACATAAGACAAATAAAACAAGAAGAAGTACTGTCATTTGCCATGTCCAGGAATTCCAGCTACTCTTAACCTAATATTTCACAGTTGGCCGGCACACGTGGCCTTTTTAAAGTTTGTAATTGTCTTTTTTTATGTGTTAGAGTAGAACAAATTGTCAAGTTTGGTCTTTTACACCATGCAATTTTTATATTTTTTAATAATTCACTTAATCAATGAGTGGTGCGTGAATTTGTCACCTGTGAGTAGAACATCCACGAAAGACAAACCTCAATAACGTAAGTTTTTTAAAACCTTTACTCTCTTAACAGATTTCGAGGATGCTTTACTAACAGTAGTAGTAAAGTTCTATTGGTTTTACTTTAAATTCTCCTTTTTAGTAAATATAATAAAGTAATAGCTAATTTGGTTGCCATATTACTGAACAACTAGATCCAGATCAAGAGATAAAATGTAGAATCGAGATAGCCCGCACGACATTTTTAAAAATGAGGTCATTCTTCTGTAATGATAACTTGCAACTTCAACTTCAAAAGCACATGGTTAAATGCTACATTTGGTCAGTCCTCTTATACGAAGCATGGACATTAAAAATATCTACCATTAATCGTCTGGAGGCCTTTGAAATGTGGCTGCACAGACGTATACTAAAAATTCCATGGACGGCTATGCTGACAAATGTGGCAGTCCTTGAGAGAGCAAATGCTGCTCGCGAGTTGCTTGATAACATCAAATGTAGAAAGATGGAATATTTTGGACTGGTAGTAAGGGAAGACCGATATAATATTCTTCAACTTATTATGATGGGTAAAATCGAAGTACGCAAAGGAATTGGTAGAAAGCAGGCCTATTGGTTGAGGAATATCAGGGAGTGGACAGGAATAAAAAAAGCTGAGCAACTATTTAGAATAGCTCGAGACAAAGACAGTTTTGCCATGTTAATCGCCAACGTCAAGGGGACTTGATAGGGCACGTTAAGAAGAAAAATAGCTAATTTAAAAGCTCATTCCTTTCTGAAATTCACATACACATTATTAAAAATTTCTGTCCACACTAACAATTATTTTACATCCCAAAATGCCTCCATCCTTTATTTTATCGAGTAAGTCACTTCTCATAAAAATCTCATAAAAACGATGAAAAATCAATTAAGATACATTTAACGTCATAAAAATGAAAAGGCAATGAACCGACCATTTATCCAGATATAATGATGAAGAGGAAGACATGAAAATACAGGAGAGAAAAAATTAATAGACGCACAGGATAAACACAAAGATTTGTTAAACCGACATAAGGGTACTGGCAAAAAAGTAGTGAATGTGATTGGTGAAGGTCAAAGAAAGATGGAAGAATTGGGACATATTTAAATCCAGGAGTGAATGGATTAGTTTTGACGAAGATATAGTTAAAAAAATAAGAGATGACAATTATTTTATCAAGAATAATTAAAATGTGTGTTTTTAAGATTGTAGCGTTTTATATTTAATGTCTAATTAATAATATAAATTCGATTCTATATAGTACGCCCCTGGTACGCTAGAAAATGTGTTGTCTGTAGAGATTTTTAAATACGCAATAATTCTTCAATAAATAAAAACGTATTTGCCAAAGAGAACAATTTATGGCTTTTTAACTTCAACGTTCCCAGAAAAATATTGCAATCTTGGTATTATTTTTTCTAAAGCGCAGTAACGCCGGATGTTTTGAACGAATTTGAGTAAAGAATTTGTTGATTTGACAAGATGGCAATGGTTTTGTGCGGGGAAAAAAGCATTACTATCCGGAGATTGAGATCGAGAGGGTCAGCGGAGTCAGTGATGAATAATTGCTCGCAGCGAAAGGTCGTTTTAATTATGATGTGGTAAGCCGGCATTCATTCGCCAAAATGGTGGAATTTTCACTCTAAGTAATATGTCGTTTCTGAAAGAGTGACCAGTAACCACTGTTTTTATTTTGGCTGAAGATTTATGATGTTTGAGCAGTGAACAAGTTTAGTTCCTGTTTTGTTTTTCGTTTTTTGAGAAATCCAGTTCCTTGCCGAAGCCCTTTTCACCTCATGTAGAATAATATTGGAGCAGTTTTGATTTGGATGTGCCAGTTTCAGCTTCCAATAAAGCTTTCTGTTGATGTGCAGTTGGATACCCCGCAGAAGTTAGTCAGTTGTTCAAAAGTTTAAGTTAACATGTGTGAACTGAGGTAACATTTACGTTATTAATTTTTAAAGTAAAAATAGACATTTTCTTTTAAAAAGACAAAATTTGCTTTCTTTTATAAATTATTTAAAAAAAAATATTTGTAATTATATTATGTTAGGGCCTGGTTTAAACTGTCATGTCATAATTTTATCCTGTTTTAAAAATGTTTGTTTTGACGTATGACAGTTTGATTTTTAATCTATTTTGATTTGTAGTAAAGATTAAATTTTATTCTTTATAAAAGGATATCCATAAAATTTGGCCACATTATCTACTAGGAACCATTTCAGAGAATTTTGTAACCTTTTGTTAACAGATATGTAAGTTTTTTGTCATTTGTATTTGACATATTTTGTCATATATAATATGCCTTTGTTGCTGTAAGTTGTATTGCTTTATAAGCTGTATTTTTGAAAACTGTTTGAGACAATAATAAATGTTTAATTTGTTTCTCTTATCTATTTTGAGTTTTATTTGAAAAAGATATTTTTTTTTATATTTTTGATGTTATACAATTATTTCCTTAGTTACAACTAGTGGTTGTAATAGGTATAATTGGGCACCTCAAGTGGCGCCCTATATTAAATTTCTTGAGGTGTTTCCGTTTATATTCATTCTGTTTGTCCAATAGATTCGTATAAGTACCTTTTATTTCCTTTTTTGTAGTTGCCCCAATCCAACCCCCAATATCTTCAACTTATCCACGACCCAGCTCTCCAACAACCAACTGAGTGTCCGTATGCACTTGTTTCGATTATTTTGTTTGCCCAATCTTGTCCCCCATATTCTTACCCTGTGGTAAGCAAAATAGTTGTTACAAGATTGGTGGCTAAAACATTTGTGTACAGATCACTTAATAGGACCTGTAACCAGCTTTAAAATTGAAGCTTTTACTCGCAGTCTCATCGTATCATACTTTTTTTTCAGATGTAAAGTCAAGAACTTTAACAGCTGCCGTTTATGGTAAAGTTGGAATATTTAAACGAAAATTTAAATTGCCTGACTCAAATGCCTGTGATACTGGGGTGGCATGTCCTATAAGTCCTAAGGAAACCTACAACTATACTCTTACCATTTTCATCGCGGAAAATTATCCCAAGGTAAGTAGGAGATAATGCATTTTTCTTTTATATTGGAGCAAGATAATTATCATCACGTAGCGCTACAATCCTGGGTGGGTCTTGGCTGACTGTACAACTTTTTTCCAATTTATTCGGTCTTTCATCAACCTAGGGTCAATTGGAATATTCATTTTCTGGAAATCTACATGGAGATTATCTCTCCATCGCATTCTGGAACGTACGAGTGGTCTTTTGCCTATGGGAATCTCCTTCCATACCAGTTTTACAAGTCTCTCGTTATGTAGTCTGTGCACGTGGACAATATCGACGTTGTCGTAGAGTGCTTTTAATTCGATATTAGTTCTTATCTTATATTGGTTTGTGGTGATGTTATGGTCCGAAAAAGTATTGTTCGTTCAAAGCGTCTGAGCTTTTCTTCGTTTGCTTCGGTGATGGTCCACGTTTCGCATCCGTATGTTATTACAGGTCTGACGATGGATTTATAGATTTTGATCTTTAAACTTCTTGTGAGATTTTTTGATTTTATGAGGTTATTCAGGGCGAATAGACAGCGGTTTCCACATTGGATTCTGTCTTTTATTTCTTCAGTAACATCGTTATCAGCTGTGATTACGACCTCCAGATACTTAAAACGTTGTACTCTTTCGCAATTGAAGATGTTGACCGTCACATTTTTTCAAATTTTATCTCTTTGTGTCGTTGTATTTATACACATATATTTCGTCTTCTCTTCATTAATCTTTAGCCCTACTTTACTTGTTGCTCCTTCCACCTTATTGAAAATGTCTTTTGTGGATAGGATGGAGTCTCCAACGAGATCTATGTCATCTGCATATGCAAGTAACAGCTTGGGACCTTGAACCGATAGCAATTCTGTTTTTATTTCGGCCGACCTCATGGTTTTCTCTAATACAAAGTTAAAAAGTAGTGAAGATAAGGCATCACCCTATTTGAGTCCACTGTTGATTTCAAAGCTGCCAGATAGTTTATTATTTACACGTACTGTAGATATTCCATTCTCCATACAGACTTTGGACATATGAATAAGTTTATTTGGTATTGAGAACTCCGCCATTGCATTTCACACTTGGCTTCTTTCTACGCATCATATGCCTGTCGAAAATCTATGAAAAGATTGTGTATGGGTCTGTTATACTCCCATCCCTTGCCTAGAAGTTGTCTCAGCGTAAATAGTTGATCTATTGTTGATCTGTTTGCCATAAAACCGGCCTGTTATTCGCCTAGGACATTTTCAGCATAAGGGATTTCTAAGGCTACTAAGAATGATGTTTAAGAGGGTTTTATATGCCGTGATTAGGAGTGAGATTCCTCTATAATTCGTGCATTTTGTTTTGTCCCTTTTTTACGGATGGGTACTATTATGTTTTCCTTCAATTGTGCTGGTATCCTTTCTTCTAACCATATGTGCGTTATTAGCTGGAGGATTTGGCGATGTAGTGCGTCTCCCCCATATTTAAGAAGTTCTGCTGTTATCTCGTCCGTACCTGGCGCTATGTGATTTTTCAGCTTATTTAAGGCCTTTTGGGTTTCTTCTAAGGACGGATTTTTAACGGGCATGTGATATAGATCTCTTCTTTATGCTGTTCTTCCTGAATGATGTTTATAAGCTCTTTTATTTAGTTACTTCTTTACCGTCGATTATCATACGGCCTTAATTGTCTCTCAGTGTATGGATAAAATTGGTTTTATGTCCTCTTTTCTCAGAGAAAATTCTTCTTCTTCTTCAAGTTCCCTGTCCGTTGCGAACGTTGGCTATTAACATGGCAATTCTGATCTTGTTTGCGGCGCTTCTGAATAGTTCGACCGATGTGAGCCCGAACCACTTCAGCAGATTTTGGAGCTACGAGTGTCTTCTTCTGCCTGGCCCTCGCTTACTGTCTATTTTTCCTAAACAATTAATTGCAGCAAACAGTACTTATCGTGTCTCAATATGTGGCCTAGATATCCAACCTTTCTTTGTTTAATTGTATTTACGATTTCTTCCTCCTTTCCGATTCTTTGGAGTACCTCTATGTTGGTGACATGTTCGGTCCAGGATATACGAAGAATGCGTCGGTACAACCACATTTCGTGTGTGAAAAAATGTAGCATTTAACTAGACGTAATTTTAGGGGAAGAGACAAATCCTTGCTTATGAGGAGCTTTTTCATATTGCTAAATGCTGCTCTAGCTCGTTCTATTCTCGCCTTAATTTCTGTGGCCTGTTCCCATTTTGCATTTACGTGCCAAGATACACATAAGATTCTGCATGGTCAATTAGTATGTTACTTATCCATAATTGTCGAGCAGGTTGTTGCTTTTTTGCTTATCAGCATCCACTTTGTCTTCTTGAAGTTGAGGTTCAGGCCGTATTCCTCACTAACTGAATAATTTCTTTCCATTACCTGTTGTAATTTGTCTATGGTACTGGCAAGGATCACCGTGTCGTCGGCATATCTTATATTGTTGGTTAACTCGCCGTTTATTTTTATGCCCTCGTTTACATTTTCCATACATTTGTTAAATATTTCCTCGGAATACATATTGAAAAGGAGTGTGGATAATATACACCCCTGACGGACACCTCTTTTGATCTGCACACTTTCAGTGAGTTCGTTGCCAATTTTTGCTCTTGCTGTTTGACCCTGGTATAGGTTTGCCACAATTTGAATGTCTTTGTCGTCAATACCTGTCTTTCGCACAATATATATCAATTGTTCAGGATTGACATTGTCAAATACTTTTCTAAAATCAGCAGAGGAAATTGCTTTATAGAATTCTCTGGTGCCTGTTTTCCTTCCCATAGCTTCATATTTTTGTTGTTCATAGTTTATTTTCTTTGTGCGTATTATTTTTCTTGTTTCTTTTCGGCAGTCGAGATATTTCTTTTTACTTTGGTCTGTTTGCAGTTGTATCTAAGTCTTCCTTACTCTTTGTCTTTTTTCCAGCTGTTTTCGACATTCCTCGTCATACCATGTTTTTGCCCTCTTCTGCCTACTCCTTCCAAAGATCTTGTCCGCTGTCTTGGTTATTATTTCGGCAGTCGTTTCCCACAGCTGTTCTATATCATTGTATTCTCTTTCAGAGTTCAAGGTTTGTTCAAGTTGTTCTCTATAGTTTTGTTGTTTCTTTGTATTGTGTATTTCGTTCATGTTCCATTGTAGATTTATTGTTGTTTTATTGTATTTGTGGCTAGATATTCTGGATTTGACTTTTGCTCTGACTAAGTAATGATCTGTGTCTCCGTCTATTTATTTTAGGCTTTTCACATCTTTAATATTGTTCTCATGACGGGCATCTACAATGATGTGGTTAATTTGGTTGCGCGTAATATGCTCGTTTGAGACCCAGGTTTGCTTATGGATATCTTTGTGCGGAAACATGGTTGACTTTATTAGCATATTATTAGCTGCTGCAGTTTTTGTGAGTCTTAAGCCATTATCGTTGGATATATTGTGTATGCTGTGTTTATCTATTGTGGGGTATACGCTAGGCTCTTTGCATATTTTAGCATTAAAGTCACCGCAGAGTATGCGCATATCTTGTTGGTGCATGCGCTGAGATAATCGAAATGTTGTATCGTTCTTCCTTCATTCGTATGTAGCATATCCTTTCATTTATAGGTTCTAAATTTAGTATATTCTGTACTAGGTTGTCTCTAATTACAAAGCCCGTTCCAAATTTATGTCTTTCGGCTATATATATATATATATATATATATATATATATATATATATATATATATATATATATAAATATATATATATATATATATATTATATAATATATATTATATAATATATATATATATATATATATATATATATATATATATATATGTTTGTTTTGAGGTTTCCGCGGGAGCTATATGTGCTGTCACTATTTTTCCGGGTTTGACTCCGCGTTGTAAAGTGCTGGTTTTCTCGAAAACCATTGTTTTGGCGACGTTTCGGCAAGGTCTCACTTGCCATTCTCAAGCCTGGTGGAACTACTTCTCGTCGTTACTCGACGAGACTAATCCATTGGACCAGTACTAATCGAGTAACGACGAGAAGTAGTTCCACCAGGCTTGAGAATGGCAAGTGAGACCTTGCCGAAACGTCGCCAAAACAATGGTTTTCGAGAAAACCAGCACTTTACAACGCGGAGTCAAACCCGGAAAAATAGTGACAGCATATATATATATATATATATATATATATATATATATATATATACTAATCACCGAAACTTTATCAAAAGGTTCCTGCATTTCTTTTTTATTTAATTTACTTGTCAAATTATTTTTTCAAAACTTGCATTTAAATAGGGTTAATTTTATTACTGATAATACAAAGTCACTTAAATTAGTAAGTAGAGGATAAACGTCCAAATTTGTTATTTGGCCCACTTCAGAATTTATCTATATTTTCGAATTCTAATCCTTGTATTGGATAAGTGTCCTCAATTTGTCATCAATCTTTTGCATCGTTTGTAGGTCTTAAGGATTACAAATTCGTGGTAATTATTTATGGTAAAAAACTGGTAAAACTATTTTAATTTAGAAGGTGTATCTTGTCCATGACTAGATCTGCCAAATCATTTCTTTTTTACTTACACATAAGCTGTATTTAAAAAACGCCAGTGACTTTCGTAAAAATGCTCTATTAATTCATCATCTAAATTAATAATGTTGTGGGTTACCCCAATTCCTAGGTACTTGTTATAAAGATTGACAAATCGAGTAAAAAATTAAAGATCAATTGTCAAAATTAATTTGTCTCACATATCGTGGGGCTATATTACTAAGCAAATGACATTTATACCCTGTGATTATTTCGCTTTGCAAATTTGTGATATCTACTTTATTATTTTCCTGTAAAACTCATCCACTAGCTTTACTTTTATTTAACGTTTTTATGTGTTACAAGAGATACTCCTATATTTTACTATTATGGTATACGTACTATCGTACGTTACAAACAACATTCATTCAGCGGCTTCGTTCTAAAAGGGCCAATGTCAAAATTCTTCGAAATTGAGTTTAGTCCTGAATTTTTCTGAGAAAGAATACTTTATTGTGTAAAAAGATCGTAAGTCTATGGACTGTCATAAGCACCGTATAGAAATTTCACCAAGGCCAATGTAAATTACTAGAATGTTTCATATTATATAAAAACGGCAATAGTAGACATAGGTCCTGGGTAAAAGAGGTTGTTTCATTGTAGGACAGCCTAAGTCTACATCACCACTTCTAACAAAAAATATATTTTTCTACTCTGTTGACACCGGCCAAGTAATCAAGTGAGCAACACGTGGTTCGCCCAAAATTCACTGTAGCTGAACTCATTAATTGACGTGTGTTAAATGTTTAAAATTGTGTCTAATCAATTTAAAAGGATTGTCGAACTCGGTAGAGAGCTGGATATTCTAGAAAAAGGGAAGGTTTTTGATGATTTTCCTTATGATAACGTTTTTTGAGGTTATGTCTCCTAATCAGCATCTATCGACTTTGTAAAACTAGGTTATGTATTTTTTTTTTTTTTTAGTTAGTAATAATAGAAATGTAGGACTGCACTGGCTGACGACTATGTGGTAGCAGGCTGTTATAATTATTTTTAACACAGGTTATTGTTACAACTAACCTGTTACGATTTAGTGTATTCAATTAAAATTTAATTGTTATGAATAGCTTCACGATACAGTTTCTATATATACCCACTAAAGTTCAGCTCTTAGAACTCGAGATTGATTTTTGTTGACTTTGTTATTAGCTAAATTTGAGACAAACAGCTCTAATCTTTAGTTGGTCGTTACGTGACACATCTTGCTTTGGCTCTGACACCATTCTAAATTTACCATGTAATTATGGGGAAGTATGCAGTGCAACAGAGCCTCAAGTAATAGAAGCGCACAATTCAACATCTGTTTCTGATATCGCACAAGAAGAGCATAATTACGTGAATAAAAGCAGCTCCGATGAATTCATTCCCAGTTCCAACTCATCTGACTCTAATATGAGTTCTGATCATTTGGTGAAAAAAAAGAAGTATAGTTAACGAACAAAGGTCCATCTGACTTCAGACGTTATTGGGATACATACCTTGACCAGGAAATGAAGAGAAAGGAAAAAGCAAGATAAAGGCCAATTAACGAGAAAACGAAAAAGACAGCCAGAAATGTGCAAAAATTATATAAGAAAGAGTCTTAAAGCTGCGGGAAAACACTATCATTCATCAAAAGGTAATCTTGTTCCCGCCAAGCATATAAGAGAATCTTGCAAATGTCGATGAAAATGTAATGAAAAGTTTACTAAGCAAGAAAGATTGTATATCTTTGAAAGTTTCTATGCACTTTTAGCTAAAGCGTAAACTAATATTTTGCAAATAATATCGAGGAGGTAATAAAGAAGGATGAGCGGTTAAATCAACAGAAAAGAGTAGAAGAAAGTACTCTAGAAGGTATTTTTTCACCAAAGACCATAACAGCAGGATAGAAGTATGTAAAACAATGTATCTAAGCACTCTCGATTTAAATGAAAAGAAGGTACGGGTACTTGTTGAGAAAAAAAGAAACAGTGAGTCAGGAATATGTACGATATATCTACGAGGAAAACATACGAACCACTCAATAATATTATCTGAAGATAAAGAACGAATAAAGGCCCACATCAGTATGTTCCCGACATATCAGAGTCACTACTCACGCTCTTATACTAAAAAGCTTTATCTCTCATTTGAACTTTCAATATCATAGATATATCGTGTTATATACAAAACTGTATTGATAATAAAATTAAGCCCAAAAGTTCATCAATTTACAGAAAAAAATTATAGACGTGTTTAATTTATTTTTTTACAAGCCAAGCAACGATACGTGCAGTAAATGTGACAAATATAGCCACCTGATTAAGACTGCTAGTAAAATAGAAAGATGGAAGGTAGAGGAAGAACAAAAGCAACATTTTCATGCAGCTAGAATGTCGCATGAAGAAAAAAAGTGTAACAGGAACAGATGTCAGGATAGACCAGATTTAGTTGTGGTTAGTTTTGACCTCCAAAAATGTCTTTCTACACCGTTACTAAAAAACAACTCTTCTTTCTACAAAAGGAAACTATAGACGTTGAACTTAAGAGAAATTATATTTTATAGTGACTATTGCCCAGACCAAAACAAAAACATATATCTTGCTGTAATGTTTCTACTTAGCATTGAACACTTCTGGAATGAAGGATGATATGTGACTATAACACGTAAGTGTTTACTTCCAGGACACACCCATATAGAAGCTTATTCGATTCATGCAGCAATAGAAAAAACGAAGAGAATAGCTACTACCAATATTGATATCCCTAGAGACTGTATCAACTTAATAAGATTGATGTCAAGAAAGTCTCCTAATTTTGACGAAATGGAGCAGTACCAGTTTTTGAACTTTAAAGCAATGCTGACAAGCTACTATCAACATAGAAAAGCCAATATCAGTGGAGACCCACTACCAAGGTACAAGGTAAGTATGCTGCGTTATATCTATGAAAGTCCAAAGATATTTTTTCACAAAATATCATAGGAGGCGGAATCTACCTTTATGACTGTTGACTTAGTTAGGTAAGCTAGGCATCCATCATAATCAACATTGAGACCACTTTTATACATAGACGACATATTATGAATAGTTTATCAATTATCTAGCTGCATTATCAGGTGGTGTTGAGACGTTAAGTGGTGGTAACTGTGATAAAGATGAAGTCTAAATATTATACTACTACCACAAATAATGATTATTTTTAAATACAACTTTGCGTTTTTATTGTAAATTTAATTTATCTTAGATAATAAAATAAGGGCCAAAGTTAATGAAAAATTCGTTTTTTCTATTGAAAAAATGGCTACTGTCATATTTTTTAAAGCATTAAAAAATATTGAACATTTAAGTCTATCTTTAAAAATCATTTATTTGTTGAGAACTTCATGTAACGACAATTTCCAATAATGTGGAAATGGGTCTACAACTCAACTCACAATTTAATGTAAATCTTCCAACTTAAACCACTGATTTTGACATTGACCCTTTTAAAACAAAGCCATAAAACAACTATTATACGCCTGACAACTCGGCAGACTGAGAGGAAATATGATTTTGATCTCAGTATTAATTGGAAACATAATGCTGGTATCTCTGTTGTATCTCTCGCTAATTTTGTAATAACGACCATAAATTTTTTCGTTCTATATTTTTTATAAATTTTGCATACATTGTTTGTTTTAGATTGCAGTAGATGTCGAATTACATTTGATAGATGACACCAATGTAGATGTTATTTGCGTTCTAATACCATCCCATATAGTTGGAGATCTTCCCACTGTTGTACAAATTATTTAGATTCTATTAGGAATAAATATTTTGCACATAATAGTATAATATATTTAATATGTTTTTAGGTATAAAATAATTTAACGATAACATAACGATAACATAACGAGAGTATTGACATATATTACTAATTGACTGGGACCCCCAATGAGACAAAGGAAACTAATGCAAAGTCCCTCTATTTTTTTCTAATAAACCAGATTTATAAACCACGTATTTATTTATTCAATTAGGTTTATTTAAGTACTCATGGAAACCGACATCAGCACCCCAAGAAAACTGAAGAATGGACTGCCTCAGGAATCTGTTCTAGCTGATCTTACCTGTAGCCCTGTACATTGCTGATATACCAGAAACCATCCCATATAGTTGGAGATCTTCCCACTGTTGTACAAATTATTTAGATTCTATAAGGAATAAATATTTTGCACATAATAGTATAATATATATATATGTTTTTAGGTATACATTAATTTAACGATAACATAACGATAACATAACGAGAGTATTGACATATATTACAAATTGACTGAGACCCCCAATGCGACAAAGGAAAATAATGCAAAGTCCCTCTATTTTTTTTAATAAACCAGGTTTATAAACCACGTATTTCTTTATTCACCTAGGTTTATTTAAGTACTCATGGGAACCGACATCAGCACCTCAAGAAAACTGAAGAATGGACTGCCTCAGGAATCTGTTTTAGCTGATCTTATCTGTAGCCCTGTACATTGCTAATATACCAGAAACCAGATCAAGGAAGTTTGGTTACACCGATGACTGGGTCCTTGCAACAAGGTGTAAGTCATTTGAACAAACAGAAGAAATCCTCACGTAAGACTTACATACAGTGAGAAAGTATTTCCGTAAATGGCGGCTCCAACTAAACGCTACCAAAACAGAGGTTTTCAGTTTTCATCTAAATAACCAGCTTGCAGTAAGAACAGTCAACATGAAATTCAAAAAGACCACACTCGTTTACAATTAAAAACCAAAGTACCTTGGGGTGAATCTTCACAGAACCCTATCTTTCAAGGAGCATCTGTCAAAAACAGCGGTAAAACTAACTATCTATCTATATAGGGTTTTTGACAGCTGTCGCCTCCTTCCTTCTTTCAGCCAACATCTCCAGTCCTTTCTGTTCTGCCATTTTCCATCTCTAAGGTCTTGTCTTTCCATGGCTTCGTCCACTTCATCCCACCATGATCTTCGGAGTCTACCTCTTTTCCTCCTTCCTATTGGGCTCCAATTCGAAATTTTTGCTATCCACCTTGTATGATCTGTTCTTCTCACATGTCCATACCAAATTAAACGTTTTTCTTCAATGTAGCTTCTACTACCATTCTTTATTTTATCTCCTCATTTCTGATGCGATCTATTTTTGTCATTCTGTAGCTTTTTCTCATAAACTCTATTGCAGTTGCTGTGGTTTTGGAACTGTTTTGTTTATTTATTACCCAATTCTGTGCTCCATAGGTAATTATACTGCGTACCAAGGTGTTATAAATTCACTTCTTTATATTTATGGTAATCTGTCTATCCCACATTACTCCGTTCATTTGTTTAATACATGTTCTTGTCTGTGCTAATCTGCTGGTTATCTTTTGCTTGGTGGTTCCATTTTTTGAGAGTATAAATTTCCCTATTATCGTCCATTTCTAAGTTTCTCACTGGTTTTTGCTCTGTTGTTAAATATTCAGTCTTTTCTAGGTTTATTTTCAGTCCATTTTTTGTATATTCCTTTTCTAATTTTCGGAGCATATAGCACAGATCTTCTTTATCTTGAGCCGTTACAACTTGGTCATCTGCAAAGCATAATGTGTACAGGAAGTTGTCCCGGATTGGTATTCCCATACCTTCACATTTCCTTTTCCATGGTTTTAATATTTGTTCGAGGAATATCTTAAACAGTGTCGGAGATGTAGAGCATCCCTAAAATAAGCCTTTTGTGGTCTTAAATTCGTTGGAGTATATATTGCCGGTTTTAACTCTTACCTTGTTGTTGTTGTAAAGGTTTTTTACTGCTTCTATTAACCTCTGAGTTATTCCGATTGTCTTCCTCGTGTTCCATAGTTGTTTTCTGGGAACCGTGTCATATGCCTTTTTTAAATCTATGAATGTCATTTGTACTGGTCTATTTGTTGCCATTTTTTTTTTCAATTAATTGTTGACTGCGGATAACCCCAAACCATCTGTCACATTACAGAACAGTGTCCCACAAGATCCTATCAAAGCAGATGGAAGGATTTCCTAATGGCGACTCCAGAGTCGATAGGCTATAAAAATAAATTAGATGTTTGTTTATAAACATATATGTATTAGGTTTTATACAAAACATATGTTACTTTAAATGTATATGTGTCAAGTCCCATACGATAAATAAAAAAATATAAATATCGACCACGTGGTCAGGGACTGTTGCGTCAGATTTCTCTGTCGCATTGGGGGAACGACTCTGTATTGCAACGCTCGTTTTATGTGTATGATTGAGTGTTTTTAATATACAATTTGAGAATTTATTGAAAAAAAAAACATATTTTAAGAAGTTATATAAAAAATATTATGTATGATATATACCTTGCGACTGCTAAACAAATAGACATATAATACTAGATAGACTTACCACTGCAATACAGTCGCGTTCCCTAGTTTGACAGAGAAAACTGACGCAAAGCAGAAACTGCATCTAATGGGCCGGGTTTATCGACCATGTGATCTTCTCATTGGTCATTTAGGTCGCATAATCAATAAACCTGGTAAATTAGAAAGAGATGCAAGTCAGTTTTCTCTGTCACACTGGGGGAGTGGGCTGGTATTACCACGATCAGTATATCTTGTATTATACAGATTGAACGAATTTTAAACGGATCATACAATTTAATATATGTCTGTTTGAACTGCATTTGATTTGAATAGTGGACCAATATAAAACTTGGACAAAAATAAATCCATACCTGGGTTTAGACATTGTATAAAATATCGTTCAACTATCTGTCTCGCAACAATGTTGTTTGCGTAACAATGTTGCCAATTGCCGTGTAATATTCTGATTTGTGGATCTTTTTGAGAGTTACAATCTTCTTCGTATCTTTAAATAAATCGGATATTTGCCTATATTTTTCATTGTATTTACGAATCTACTACAACAGACTAATAACAAAAATAAACTTAATGGTTTGTAGTTGTTTTCTTTTTTTCTTGTAAATATTTAATGGATAACACCTTATTTGAGGAACATCTAAAGGAATGACGTTGGTAACACCGTTCAAAGAAGGGCTTGTCTAAAGAAGCGATAAATAGTTTGACAGCATAATAAAATCGTAGATTTATGTGTAGCTTTCAATATTTATTATTTCAGAATCTAGCAGCCCGCTGAAGTATTGGATTTTTATAATATAATTATTTGACAACCTTTTGTTGGCCAACTATCTACAGCAAAATTGAGCCTAAATACATAATATTTCGTATGTTCCGAATTTATTTCGTTCAATCTGTATGTTTATTGCTGAACTATTGAAGAAAACATACGACATATTCCAAAGCAAGAAGAAGAAGAAGAAGAAGAAGAAGAAGAAGAAGAAGATTTAAGTGATGGCTCATTCTGTAAGCATCGGCCTCTGTAGCGAAATGACTTAATATTCAAAACTTTTTTATTAAAATTTACAGGACAACGACTACTCTAATTTAAAGAGAATTTAAATTATATAGGGTGCAGCCAAAAAGAGTGGTATAGCAAAATGTTTATTTTTCCTAAAGAACATCCAAAATTTAATGATATTTTTAAATTGTTCTTAAAAAAATAACCATACTCTAAGTACCATACTAAGTTTTTTTGCAGAAAAATAACCAGTTCCTATAATTAAAAACGCGGTGTTTGAGGATATGCTTCGATTTGTTTTAAAAATAAAGAGCTTTTAGAAAATAATAAATATCTACAAATCTAAGAATTTAAGTAAATTTGTTTTGAGTCCCCACTAATCGACTATGTGTTTTAAGCATTTTTAAGTAGATATTTATTATAACTTTAAGGTATATATTTATAATGGTATACCTCAAAAACTGCAAACCAAAGTGTTTAATTATTGTATCCTACCTGTACCTACTTATGTACCTAGATATGGAGCTCAAACCTGGAAATTCACTAAAATAAATATGGAGAAGATCAGAAAAACTCAGATAGCTATGGAACGACAGATGCTGGGTATTTCACTAAAAGACCATAAAACCAATGAAAAACTAAACTGCTAAACTATGGACATAACCAGCGTCTTAAGGATGGCCAATGGAATAAAGAAATCGGAAATTTATCGGCCATATGTTGTTTTTCTCCCATTTGGTATCCTTTTTTAGTTGTTACTTTTTTTTTTATTATAGCATTCATAATCAAGTTGAATAATAAAGGACTCAGCGAATCTCCCTGTCTTATCCAATGACTAGCTTCAATAGGGTCGGTTAGTTCTTTTTCTACTTTTACTTTTATTGTGTTTTTTGGTAGATTTTTTTGATCGTTTTGATTATTTCTGGAGGTATCTCCCTTGCGAACAGTAAGTGGATAACGTTTTTTAATTTAATCCGGTCAAATGCCTTCTTAAGATCTACGAAACATAGATATGCCGGTTTGTTCTATTCTAATGATTTCTCTTGGACTTGCCTCATTATAAATATAGCGTCGGTGCATGATCTTCCCGACCTAAAACATCGTTCTTCTTTTGCTAGTGTTATAATTTCATTCAGTTTATTTGTTATCACTTAGGTAGTTAATTTTAGTGTTGTGTTTAAAAAATAATTCCTCTGTAATTCTCCGCTCCGATTTGTCTCCTTTTTTGAAGGGAGGTATTAGGATGCTTGATCTCCATTCTTGAGGAATTCTACTTTTTGTTCTATTACTGTATAGAACTTAGTATAATAAAATTAAAAGTGTTCAGTTAATTTGAATTTCAGTTTTATTCAGGATAATTTCAGTAATACAAAAAAGTGCTTCATATACACTAAGCTAAATTGTCCTAAGTGACAATATGATCAAAAATCAACTAATCTGGAAAGTTTAAAACAAAATTATGACTAGCAATTAAATTCTATTCTCCGAAATAACATATAAAATAAAACATAAAAACTTTCTTAAATTACTAAGCATTATATAATGAAAAAAAAGAAAAACTTGATTTTCTCAAAACCTAAATATTGCAGATAGGACCTTTCATATCCAAATGCAGAGACGGGCTTAAAAAAATCATTAAAACAAAATTTTGTACGGAGTGGTCAAAATATTAGATTTTTCTATTAGCACATTCAAGGTGAAATACCGTACTTATTTTAAATAAAACACCTTATGTTGCTAATTTACTTAACTTGTAATAAACTGTATTTAATTTTATATATTGGGGTAGTTCGCAGAGTGTAAAGAGCAGAAAGGAGTATCAATATTAATAAAAAATAAATAGAAAAAACACATACAATATTACCATAAAATAAATCAGCGAATAATGAAAATTAGGATAGTACTATTTGGACAAACAACAATAATTGTTAAAGTATTGAAGTAAAAGAAGAAACAACTTTAGAAAGCAATGGGAAGAATGCACGTTAAAGAGAAATAGGTACATATAACACACAGTCTGTATGAAGAAAAAAAAAAGTGGAAATGAAATTTGGTAATAATAACAAAAACAATCATCGCAACAATATGCCTCAAATAAGTATCTAATCACCTAGTTTGAAAATGTTTCCTAAGGGAGCTAGAGCTCTTTAAAGATAGTGCGTTGTAAAACTGTAGTGCGAAAAATCAAAACTGAAAAATGAAAACTTCGTTAGCCAACATTGTA